ACTAACATGCTAAAAGTATCTAGGCAAAATTCTACTTACTCAAAGACAGAGAGCTTTAAGTTTCATTAATTATTTACACTATACAAAGGACTCCAATATCTGAGCTTTTTCACGGTTCCACTACTCATGCATATGGTGGAAGCTCCTTTCCCTGAGGATACAGTAGCTTGGAAATGGAAAACTTGGGCTTTACGTAATGGAATCCATGCCTGGACTTCTGCATTCTTTCAATTTGCCTTCTTTCTTGAGTGGGTTCTTATTAACTTGTAGCTCTGCAAAGAACAAGTAATTTAATGCTAACTGGGATGTCCTGTTAGCAAGCCTCTAATAGCAATCTATCAGCTATTCAAATGCTGCAAGAAGAAAGTCAGATTTCAACTGGTTAAACTTCTGTAGGACACAGATTTCATGGGGTCTAAAGGAAGTGCTTTCCTTAGTTTCCACATGAGCTAGCATTTTCAAAACTTCAGTCTTATGTCTGCTATTTTAACAAGTGAATTTTGCTAATACTCAAAGATTTTTTTCCTACATTTTGTTAGAAATTAATATCTTGATATCTAAAGGCTAAGTGTCAAAAAATAATTTCTTAAGACTGGATTATAGTAAATGCAGTGACAAGAACAGTGCTATGCACAAAGCTGTAAGTGAAGGACAATTTAACAGAAATGAAAAGGAGTTAAAAAGAAATGGCTGGAAAACCGTGTTGATTTTACCCTGCCACCTGAACTACTCTGGCAGCATTACTGTACAGTTTGTAATTAAACAACACAGGGATTGATCTTACAGCATGTTTAAAATTGAATCATTTCAATGAACAGAAAGGCTCTTGACTTGAGAAAGCAAAATGCTGATTTTCACTGCTCTAATACCTCTGAATCATTCCAATATGCCCTACCTGCAATACGAAAACACACACTGATATTTAGGCAATTTCTTCCTTCATGTGAATTTTCAGGGAAGATTTTGAATACAATTAGCTAAGGCTTTCTGAAATTAAGTCATTAAAAACTGTACAGATGAGAAGGAAATTCTGTGCAAAGGAGTTTTGTTAGGCAAAAGATGCCAGCAACGGAAATAATTTACAGCAGCAAATGCTACAAAACAGTCTTGGCCAATAACCTCTTTTACCAAACAGCTATCATTTTCTGTAACAGTCATGAGAACAGAGTATTAAATATGTCTGTAACTTTACCTCTTTTGGGATCAATAAAACAGCCTATTCTGATGAAACTCTTAAAACCCATTCAGTATTTAATGAAGGACATCTGAAAGGACGGATTTCACTGACACACTGTTGAAACTTAAACTGTTTAAACACGGTTTATCAGTTATGAAGATTATCAGAAAAATACAGCACAAACTAACACGCCCATCAGGAATAGAAAACCAATTTACAGCGAGAAGGTGTACAGGGCTCGGGAACTTGGTCACAGTATGAAGAGGCTGCATGGGGCCAGACAAAGGTATCTGGTTTAGGATGAGGATGAGGAAGATGAGAAGAAACAAACAGTTGGAGAGGAGACTCTGTTCTTGAGAGAGAAGATGAGGAAGTATCAGAGGCTAAAAAGCGAAACAAAAAGAATGATAAGGGTGTTGGGGGGCAGAAAAGAAAAAAAAGATCCAAGAACAGGGTTTAATGGACTCATCTATGCCGAAAAATGCAAAGCATTTATTTCACTGTTCAGTAAGATGGAAATGGCTTCTACATAAAATACCACTTCTTCTGAAAGCAACATAAAAAAATACTCTGTATGCATGTGCACTCTCCTCCCATACTAAAACTAGATTAAAAAAAAACAAATTAAAGATTTTTTCCATATGTTCTAATGCATAAATTTGTAAAATATATTTAAGAGGAAGTAAAGACTAAAGTTTAAAATTCAGCTACTATTGTTTCTTCCTATGATAAACTCAGTGGACTGCAACCAATACACAACAAATTGAATAATCTTTTTTTTAAAAAAGATTAAGTGCAACTTACCTTAACCAAAATAGCCAACTGAATCTCAAGTGATTTGCATATGCATATCTATTTTTGGATAGGAAATGTGCCTGCCTCCCTGTGAGATTTTACTTCAGTGATTGATTCATCCAAGCTTCCTTTTTTCTCCATATTTATTTCCTTCATCAATACAAATACATAATACATCATTATACAAATATGGGTCCATGCCACTCATGGCAAACCAGCTGAAACAGAAGGCAAACTTAGTAGATTTGCCACAGTTATTGACCAGGGCATTAGCATTTATCGTCTAGCCTTGTAAGAAATCCACAATACACTCTTTTTATACTTCCAAGGTAACACAAGTTTAAACTTGAATCATTTAATAATTTCTGTTTATGGGATTCTTAAGAGCTCTATATAAAATTTTTAAGACTTTTTTTTTTCAAATTTGAACTTCCTCTTAATTGATACATTTAAGAAAAAGAATGGTTTACACCCATCACAGCTAGACATATTTTTTTTTTCACAGATTTTGAAATTCAAATTGCAAGTACATAACACTTCAGATTTTAGCTCTCATTTCTTGGTTCTCAGATTGGCCAAACTCCGACTAGACAGGCAAAGGGGATCATCATCTTCATAGGTAGCAAGCAAAGTTAGGAAGGGGAAAATTTCCAAATGTTCACGTGTATACGCACACACAAATACACACACAGTAGCATTATACTGTACAAAGAGGAGGGGATCAAACTTTCCTGTCTTACAAGGATTTTCCACGATATCTTTCCTACATACCCTATTTTAACATTTGTTTATTTATTTAAATGTGAAATTCCTTCTGCATTTCTAAACATTGTGGATCCACAGAATTTGCACGTGCTCTTTCAGCCTATAAAGGTCTAACATCTCGACCATCTATTGTTTCTATTATCTACCTTTTGCAAACAATATTTTTTTGACAGTCTGCTTTGTTTTCTTACTCAAACATTATGACAAGCTTGTCTTTTTATTCTTATAGTACCATAACCTTTTAATTTCTGCAAAATTTATATATAATCTTCTGGATTAAGAATTTTGGACAAAAGTTGGATATGGAGCTTTTATATGTGTATTATTATATAGATACAGTAGATAACAAAGCTCTAGTCCTTACCAGAATTTGAGTATTCGTATTTAAACAAGGTTTCTTCTGCTAAAATTAACAACTAAAAAAACCCAAACAAACAAAAAACAACCCCAGCCCCCCAAACATAGAAAAAAAGGGACACCCCTCCCCAAAACTATCCTCCACAACTACCTTTTATAAGAAAAATAATCCAACAACGACCCCATATTTTTAACTTCCCATCCTGTCCTCCTTGACAGTAGAGATAATAAGCTTTAACAACACAGCTGAGATTCAGGAAAAAAAGACAATTTGGAACTTCTAGAAAAATCAGAATGTATGCATAGAACCTGTTTTTCATTGAAGATGTCAGCTGTCGGATTGGAATCTGGGAAAAGCTTCTTGAATAGCTCACTGTTTTGGAGGAAGGTTCATCTTTACTTTAAAGCACTGAGGAATAGGTAGTCTTTAAAAAGTACCAATAGTTATGCTCTCAAGCATGGCAGTTATAAAATAGGACACCCCAACAGTGTGAGCTTTGTTACTCCATGGGGGAAAAACACAACCACAAAAAAACTCCCACAACATCCCCCCTAACAAGCACTCCAGTGAAGGCATAAAATAAATTATCTATATCTATGTCTATCTATATACGTATACGAAACCTTTAAAAATCTAATTATGTTCTTAAAATGAAACAATGACCTAGACTAGAATATAGAATTATCAGTATAGAATGATACAATGTTATCTCACACATTTTAATTATACAAATACAAGCAGACAGAAAATTTCACTATATGGGCAGCAAGCTAAATTATGCCATACTTCAGACCACATCATATTGCAATTCTTTGAGATCAGGTGACCCGATCTTTGTAATCAAAACTGTTTGCCACTATAGCAGGCACAGAACACCTTCTATTTACTTACATGATTTCAAAATTAAGTGAACATTCCATCCAACTTTAACTTTCAGAAGTTAAATATCTAAATTAGATTTTTCTCTATTGCATAATTCTGATATTAAACAAAGAGATACATTAGACATTTCAATGTATCTTAATTTATGAGTCAGTGTATTCTAATTCATAGGCTGGCAAACTTTCCTATAAGCTGTTTGTGTCAAAGTGCAATTAAGCAGAAATTCATATCTGAAAGGTGCCAGGAAAAGCATGAGACAAAACCCAGGAAACAGAAAACTACCAATATTTAGAATGTAAGTAACATACTGTAAAGGTTTTTGGAACTAGCATCATCATGGTAATTCCTTCTGCAATTTTCACAGAATACATGCCTCACTTGCTTTTTGGTTATATGACTTCCAAGGCATATCAAATTGCATTGTGATAACTAGATATATTAAAATAGAAAAATTACATATTGTAAATATTTACTGACATTTAACAACCCCAGCTTTTATGTAGTGCACCTGTGTACCGCAATTTTTCACATGTATCTCAAAATATCACAGTATATATTATTTGTAATAAATAGATTTTGCATGTAACTATATTTTAATATATATTGGAGACTTTAATATAATTAGCAATGATTTCTTCAGGTTTTTGGAGATTAAAAGTTTTTCTGAAATGTTTCTGATTTATCTTTTAAAAAGAAAATATGTACAAATACTGAATGGACACAAAAGCACAGGACTTTCTCAAATTAACTAGTTCGGCCTACTAATTTTTAGCCCTTGCATACAAAAAATACCACTAAACTCAGCAACATCCATACTATAGATATTTTAATTTACCAAGAACTTGGTCAGTAAGTACTTCCTAAATAAAAAAGAAAAAAATCGTATATTGTACAATGCCTATTTCCACATATATGACAATGAAAATATGATTTCATTTTGCAAAATAAAACAAAAACACTAATGCAAAATCTAGCTATGGTCAGACCATTTTACCTATTTCATTGTTCAAAGGCAGTTCTTACCTGTTTCAGGATCACTGAAATCTGGTAATGTAATTGTATTAAGCTGTCGTCTATCAGCAATAGCTCTGTCTAACAGGCTGCTCCCACGTCCAGAATCACTGTATTGAAGTACAGAAATTGTAAGCAATTAAAATATAAAATTATATACTGAAATATAAGTTGCATGGTGCCCTCCTCCCACAAAGGTTCTTGCTATAAAAATTCTCGCTATGAACAAATTTAGTACCAAGCACCACTAACCACTCACAGTGCATTAAGCCAGCTGCATTAAAACAGAATTAAGCAGAACGAAACTAAATCCCTATTTACTTCATCTATTCTGTTTTCATAATTAATACATCCATGAAGGGAATACAGCCTTTTAATTTGTTTCATAGCTAACAGCTTTACAGAAAGGATTTATTGTACCTTAAACTTTTATATAATATGAGGCACAGCTCTCACGGGAAGCCAACATGGCAGATGTAAGTTTGAAAATCTACACTTCACCCAGACTGAAGAGAAACACAAAGCTCAGGGCATCTAATTTTAGGTAAAGATGTTATAAAGATGCCATAAATACCTTTCACATAAAAAGGCATCACTTTTGTCTCTAGAGTTCGAGAGGTGGGTGTGTGGTTTAGTTGTTTGGCGTTTTTTTCTCTAAATATACATACACACACACAGATTAACTGCCTAATGTTGAATTTGATCCTAATAGCACAACAGGAACATTTTGAACACTTCCAACACCTCAGGTGCCTAAGCAGTAGCAGTGGTTTTCAATGATTGCTCCTGAGGACAAATGCACTTAATTTCTACTTCAGTTGTAACTCAGTATCTGACCCTCAGGCTTCTTGCTGATATACTGTCCGGCAAACTATTTGCTCCTAGAACCACTATTAAAGATTCAGCAGAGGAACAGGGACTGAAGAACTAATTGCTCCTTCTCCTTAAGATGAGGTGAGTATTGAGACACATGGACAGACAAGTGTCAGGAAGCACATAAGGGCACTCCTTTAACATTCTAAGGTTAACAGAGTAATTTAATTTTTAGGATTTTAAATCTGGTACTACTCACTATCAATTAATACTTTTTAAAAAACCTCATTAAAAAAAAAAAAAGCACCACACAAACTTAAAAATAATTGGGCTTTAAAGCAATTGGGCTGTTAGCCCAACTTAGCACAGTGCAAATGTTTGGTTCTCACTCAAGAGAAAAAAACTCCACAAAATTCCTAGCTTAAAGTAAAGCCTGAGAGACTTTAATCTAAACTGAAAGACTGGAATTCAATAAATCTATCTGCCTTGATTTTAACATCTCCTCCTTCCCAACTTGAACTGAGAGAAGTGCAAGAAGCCTTTCAGCAACTCTTTATAGTTGCACACTTCAAAAACCACTGAAACAACTTCCTCTCTTTGTACAGCTGACATTAAAATGGTATAAATAAAATTTTGCATTACTCTAACATTATTGCATGACTGATTTCCTTACAAAATGATGCCATTATAGAAATACACAGGAAACAGAAAGGAACTTTCTGGGACACACACTATCAACTATAGCTGTTACATCAGTTGGTGCATATTTTCTGTTAAGTGCTGCATTAATTACTTCCTCAATCCACAAGCAAGCACTGACATGCCAAATGTTCCTGACAAGGAGTGCCTGGCTTAGCTTAAGTATCTTCTAAGCACAGCACTGGCATTCTGGTTTGTTCTGTGATACAATAAGAAGGTATTCAGCCCTTAAATTTCACTCAGACCATCCAAAGAAAGGTTACAGCTTGGTACTCATATTCACTGTTTAATTCTGAATGTGTGAATTGTGAAACATGTCACCTTCCATCATGACACTTATCCACAGCTTCTGTCCGTTCCATTGCTAATTTGATTTTGTTACCATAAACCAGAACTTCAAGAAAACCTTTAAATGTCAAGATAAAAAAGCAGTAGAAACTACCAGATGCAAAGTAGTCCTCGTTAATTTTTCTACTTAGATGTTCTTGAAGGAGAACAGTGACACAAGAGTTAGCAAACATTCTTGTTTGAAACTGACACAGCTAAGAGTAAGTTTTCACAGTCACTGACGATGTCTGAAGGAAGCATTACTTAATGTGTATTTAACATGGCGCAGTAGCTCTTGGCACAACAGCAACCACAAAAAAAGTAACGACAAGGCATGATTAGAACCCTGATCTGTGCAGAGGATGTAACAGCAGAGATGGAAACTTGTGCTGGAGTACATGCAATACCTCACTGAAATTATGCTTACGGAGCAATTGTAACTATTCTGCACAGCACAGCATTCTGGCAATAAACTCTTCAATCCCCCTCCCCACTCACACAGCAGCCAACTAAAATAAAACACTACCCACTGAGTTAGAAAATAAATTCTCTCCCAGGACCCTGCTGCTAGTTCAGTGGCTTTGAGTTGAAAATAATTCAGCTGAAACCTTTCTGGTCACTGACATACTTGCTTTCTTATAACCTCTGAGTCCTGCTCCCTGCTGCACAGCACCATGTCAGGGTCTCTCTCAAGGCACTGTGACAGATTCAGGTCCCTTCCCAGGCTTTTCCTGACACACCTCCAAACTTTCCTGCTCTGAACTGCTCACTAGCTCACTAAGGAGAGAAACAACTTCCCCTCTTTGGACATTAGGCCAACTCTCTCAATCTTCTTAAAGAGATGCCTATGTTTACATAGTGGAGATCAAAGTAAGAGCAAAAACTGAAAAGATAATGTTCGTCATACTGGTGTACAGGTTATCTGATGCCACCTGGTACAAAGATCTGCTGCTGCAGCATGTCTTCTCCAGGAACTGTCAGCCCTTCAAGCAAGCAGATAGCAGGAAATTCTGCTTGTGCTCTTCTGTGGGTACTTGATAAACGTGTTGAATAGTGCCAGCAGGGATTTCTGCAAAGTGGCCTTCCTGTTTATTTCACAGCTTATCTAAATATATATGGCAAAGGACCTGCACAGAAGCATTCCGGAAACCCCAATAGGACTTGTTATGGTTTTGTGTGGGGGGTTTTGTCTGGTAGCAGGGAGGGGCGTAATGGCTCCTTAAGCAACTGCTAAGAGTTCCCCAGCTCCCAGTCTGCTGCTGGCGGCAAGGGAGGGGTTACAGTGGTGGCTCCTTTTTAAGTGACTCTTAACGATTCGCCCCCTCCCCCCCGGCTCCAAGTGTTTGGTAACTGTGAGGAGGAGTGGGGGAGGGAGTACCACCTATCTACCCCCTGTGAGAAACTGCTGGAAGTTTCCCCAGCTTCAGGCTGGACCCACCCCAGGCCAGGGCTGAGCCAACTGGCACCTCTGCAAATAACATATTGAGGAGGGGGCACGCAACAATGGGGTTGGCATGGCCCCGGGCAGGGCCCGGCTCGGGTGGACTGGCCCAGCTGCCCAGCTGCCTGCTCAGCTTCTGCAAAATGACCTGCCCTAGTCCAAGCCTCCACCAC